ATATCTCTCTCTCTCTCTCTCTTTCCAATCGTAAATTAATTTTTTGACTATGCTATACGTACCTGCCAGCTTCCTATATTTTTGTGTATATATATTCTATAGCTACCTAGCAATGAATGTATACGGTCTCAGTGATCTAACTATTCTAGAGATCGACCAGCCAAACAACATTGAAAAGGATATACCCTTAAAACAGCCGCTGTGGTGTACCCATATATAATACCCGGCACTAGACTAGAGCTTTAACTCCTCTACGACCAGAACCAACCCGAACCCCCAAAGTAGTTACGCAAGATGCCGACCGACCCTGTACATTCGAATGGCTACATCTTCGTGTTGTTTTTCTTGGCAGGGTTCTTTGTATGATTGGTCAATGGTTTTCAGGGGAGATAAACCGAGGTTCGCACGGGGTTTCTGCACCTTGCATCACGGCCGGCACCCGATCCAGTTGCAGTCAGCGAGCAGTATTTGAACGCGTCGCACGAACCTCACGATGACGATCTCGAGGAGGAGGTCGACGAGGAGGCTGCAGCTGTTGCCTCGCCATCAAGTGGTGCTGGGGGCAGCAGGTTCTTGAGTAGCTTCTTGAATAAGAGGCGATGTCAGGAAGCGCAGGCCTCCGGGCAGGTAAAGAGGAAGCTTAATCTCAAGTGTAGCGAGAAGGAGCAGGCCACTAGTGCTGCTGGGTCTGCATCCATGAGCTACACTCCGCACTTGTTTTCCGAACGACGTGTTCACTATATCAGGGAGGCCCAGGCTGATGGCATGACATACAATGAAGCTAGGGCTTCGTGGAATCAATCCAAGCTTCGGGCAGACATGCTAGCTACGTTGTCTCTTCCAGAATTGAAGAGACGTCGTTTTGTAGGCAAGAGGTGCACCGCCAACCCTTTCCTCAGGGCGGCTGCTCTTGCCGGTGCCTAGATCGGTCAATCGATCGATGGATGCAGCAGAGACTGCCATGAAATTCACCAATTAGGTTTGCGTGTGTTTCTTCATACGCAGTATAATTTGAGGCAGGACGCAAAAGGACTGTGAGGCGCCATCATGCTGTACGTACAGCAGTCCCATGGTCATGTTATTCGTTGAAACCCTATATACCTGCATCTATCTCTCGAGCTCCTTTGAAGCAAACATTTTAGGGGCTATTGAACCACCTACCAGTTTATATACGGGATGGTGGTGGCTGAGCTGCTGCGAGCTGAAGCCCCGCCCATTTTGATTCTTGTGGTCTTGCTCCTCACCTTCAACGCCTGTGTCAATCTGAAGCAGGACCCGTACGTGGTGCACCGTAGCTAGCTTATATATAGTTAAGAACCTCGAAGCCATTCAGTCTAAGGTTCTATATAGTACAGAGAGAGAGAGAGAGAGGGAGAGATCCTAAACCCTAACATAAACCTGCTAATGAAACAAGTCTTCGAACAATGCCATCGACCAACCCTGAGCTAGGACCGCGAGTTTTTGGAGCTCTTTGCGGGCAACATGGCCGTCACAAAAGCCCTCCGAGCAGCCGCTTTGGCTTTAGATATATAGGAGCACAATGACGAGTGATCCCGAACCTAAGCCAACCCCTTCGCCCAGGCACGCCTCCGTGGAGTGGCCGTGGATTGGATTTTGGATGCGAAGACCATGAACCTCCTGGAACCAGCAGGCTTCTGGTGACTTGCCTAATGAACCACGGAATTGCTCAGGCAGAGGTTGCATCTCAGTTCAACAGTGTCCCAATGATCTAAGTCTTGCCGTGGTGGAGATTCTACGACTTCGGCCAGGGTCATTGGTGCTGATAGCTTTGGATTGCAGGTCCTTCAGCTCAATGTGCCTACATCAGCATTATTCAATTGGAGAGGCATCATACCGTAGTCAGTTGTGATTGAAGGGCACTGTTGAAACGAGGTCTCGGTGGTCTTCTGGGCGCTCGTTGATCCGACTTTGGGGTTACAAGGACCGGGAGTTTGTGGCCGCAGGTAACAAACTCTCCTCCAGGGTCGCCCTCCTCCTACACTTGTGCCAATGGCGCAACCTGCGGTGGCTACTGGAACAACCGGATGGGTCAATGCTTCCCCATCTACCCCGTTTTCAGCAGCTTTGGCAAAAGTTCCATGTGCCCAGGCATTTACAAGATTTGTGTCGACCTCGTGTACACTTGCATGTCTGTTATGGGGCCCTCCATATATAACCAAGGTCTACCAAGGTTCCTTCTGGATGGGGAAGTTCAAGGGCCCCACACCGAAACGCCATCGAATTTGGTCCTGCTGCTTCGACTTGGTTGATGGAATCCA